GAAGCCGGCAGGCACAGACGCGGCTCCTCCTGCTGCCCCTACGGGGGGCCCCTTGGCAGCTCCACCCTGGGCCGGGTCACCGAAGGCCTCGGGCCGGGCCCGGTTGGCGCCGCTCATGCTGAGGAGCGAGGAGTACAGACGCTGAATGGTGCCGCCACACACACACACTCCCGGGCCGCGCAGCTTCCTGGGAACCGGAGTCCTTTGCTCCACTCCGCCAATCAGCGCCGCACTCCTAACTACAACTCCCAGACGACCGCGCAACACGGGACGGAAACAGACCGCCCTAGAATCGCGGGGGATTGTGGGTGACCGAGCGCACCAATTACCAGAGAGGCGCCGTGCGACTACTTCACCCACATCCCCCCGCGCCATGAGGGAGGCGGCAGACTGCGCCCTCTGCTGTCCGGAGGGAACTACACAGCCGACAGTACAGGGCGATGCATTTCTCATCCAATGTCACAAGAGGGAGGAAAAACATTCCAAGTCAAAAAATACATTAAAACAAGGATTATTAAAACGAAAAAAAAAAGACAATATTCCTGATAATACAAATTATACATTTCATTTTAATAATATTTTAATTACATTTAATAATGTTTTTATTATTATCATTTCATTATTACTATTTTATTAGTTTAAGGCATATTACTATTTTATATCATTATAATAAACATATTAGGACCCCATTTACAACCAAATGCATCAGTCTTTCAACATATGCCAATGCAAGAGCATCTGAAAATAAATGTGAACACATCCGACGCAGACATTTCGGTGTGAATGCACCCCAAAATGATAAATGGAGTAACTATAATACAATACCATGGTTCTTATTAGGATATCCAAACAAACAAGATAACAGATTATTAAAACATAAGAAAAAATGGCAAATTACAAAATATATAATATTTAAATGAAGGGCTACGTTCACCTGCCTTAAATCAGCGCAGCGACACCTAGAACATTGGATTCCATGTACCCAATTTACCAGAGAATGCTGCCCTGAGGTGCGTTACCTAAATATGTGGCATGTCAGTATGATTTAACAGTGCCCGTCAATAAAAACTGTGGTGCATAGGAGTTCAATTAAATGCCATTTTGTTACCTTTTAATAAAGTTTTTTTATATTCCTTACCATCCTGTCTTGAATTGTATTGTAATTGTAATGTCTTCCTCACATTGTAAAGCGCTGTGCAAACTGTTGGCGCTATATAAATACTATGTAATAATAATAATAATAATAATAATAATAATAATAATAATAAAGCAGAGTGATTTGGTGCATCAATGCATTGCATACCAGTGTGCGCTATATAGTGAGTAATACATGCCGGCTGGTATTGGGGCCTATGGGCTGTTCATTGAAGGGAATGGAAGGGAGAGGTGTGGCAGAATCAATCCATAGAACATTGAAAGGAGGAGAGAAGACCACATGGGAGCCAATGGGGGGGAAACAACTGAGGACAAGCTACCTTGGAAAGAGATGGTGGAAAGAAGAAGATAATGGATGAAGTAAAGAGGGACAAGTGGGATCTGATCACGGACAGTGAATAGAGGAGGTGGAGCATGACTGACCATGGACAACAGGTTCAAAGTGATGTCCTGGCACAACCAGAAGCGAGTCATTCCCAGCGACCAGAAGTGATGTTGTCCGATCCCAAACCGAGACCTGGGCTGCACACCAGCTCCTAATGAGGACTACAAATCCCAGCAATAATGCATTATACAGCGCAATGCAGAATACCACCAGCTATAGAGTACAACATATCCCAGGAATACATTCTACAGTGGTGCAATGCCGAATACCACCAGCTATAGAGGACTACAAAACCCAGCAATATATTATACAGCACAATGCAGAATACCACCAGCTATAATGTACTGTTGCTGGGATGTGTTGTATGCCTCTATAGCTGGTGGTATTCTGCATTGTGCTGTATAATATATTGCTGGGTTTTGTAGTCCTCTATAGCTGACGCCATTCTGCATTCATTGCTGTATAACTTTACACTTTTCATTTCACTCTATTGCACACCACACTCGTTTTCTTTTTTACGTCCACTGCTCCAAGCTTGCTCCTGTGAGGGACTACACTCAATACAAACTAGTAGTCCATCACTGGAGCCATTTTTTAAAATGTATTTTATTTTTATCCGATTAATCGAACTTAATATTCGGCTAACCGATTTTGAAAATAATAGTTAGCTGCAGCTCTATGGGACACGTCGCTACTAGGGCGGCCAGGGGACAATGCTTGGGACACGTCGCCACTAGGGCGGCCAGGGGACAATGCTTGGGACACGTCGCCACTAGGGCGGCCAGGGGACAATGCTGGGAGATGACATACAATTGAAAGGATAGAACAGTGGAGAATATGGAGCGCAGAATGCCAGTCATTGGATCAACAACGTAGTGCGGCAGAAGACTAGGGAAGTTAAACAATGAACAGTAACTTTTGGGGCCCAAGGTCCATACGATAAGTACTAAAGGATGATGCAACTCTTGGGTTGCAGGTTGGACAACAGTTGCCTGAATACCCAAACAGTCACTATCCGCAGTCATTTATTGGACAATAAATTTTACACCAGCATCAGTTCAATATCGACTTATCAATTCAGGTGGTGCTTACAGGGCCAACCATGGCTCACATTTCAGGCGATTCTACCAAAATAAACTAATTTCAGGCGTCTATGACCAGCGTTGCCAAAAGTTTAGTCTGAGAACATGAAACTGCAATCTCTTTTAAGCTTGATACACTAGAGCAGACACTTCCAGTCATTGACAGACAACGCACCCAGAATATTTTCCACATGCATGCATCTGCAATGAGGTCGTGCGAATGACTCGACAGCCCCAAGGATGTGGTGCACCAAACGCGGTTATACAATTAAAGCTCCACGGCTGAAGGTGCACAGTGCGGGTTCTTCCGACCAGATGTCACCAACTTCACACACCTTCCTTTCTGCGCTTCCTCTGCAACTTCCTTTTATTATCATAATCAGGCTGGTATTTACATCAAATACAAAGCACGGTTCTCTTCGCCATTTCCACTTTGAGCAAACTGCTCGTTTTCAGTCATTCGGAAACTTAGAGACCTCCTTTCTTGGCAAAAAAAAAAAAGGCACCACTGTTATAGATCAATCTGACCGATTCTGCCCCTGCTAATGATCTGGATCCAGTTAAAAAGGCAGATGCAGTATAAATGTACCGTAAGCTCTGTAGGACACCCCCCCCCCCCCTTTCACATCAGAGCCCCCTTTACATTAGAAACTCCCCTGTTATATCAGGAGCTGCAGTTCCATAGCACAGGGTGGGAGTAGGGGCAGACCTGGATTGAGAACTACTGTCCTTTTTTGAATGGATCCCACCTTTCCTGGATCAGCATGGTGCTGGAAAAGTCACCCCTGAGGAAGCCAGCAGTCACCCTGGTTGAGAAAAGCGGCAGTCCTAAAACAAGTTATTTTACAAGTTTATATACTAATCTTTGCGTCACTCATTTTGTTAGTCGTATACAAATCATCATATGTATGCAAAATAATAAAAAATAAAAAAAAAATGTCTGCATACGATTTTGGTCTTCCTTACAAGACAG